ACAGAGCATCACTTGTCCCAGACCAGGAGTTCCTTCCTATACTTTGTGGCTAGTAGCTTGTGACTCTTACTTAGCTTCCGGGGCCTGCCAGCTTTTTCGATGTTTGCTTCTGCTTCAGGTAAAAACTGCTTTAGCAGCAAGGAACTTGTCTGTATTTTGTTTCCAGCTGTATTAAATCTACAAAGGGGACCAGCAATTTAAAGGTACAACAATAATGGAAGAAATTGCTGTTAGGTTCACACAATAGCACTATATAGACAAAAATGAATAAATAAACTTGTTGAGATGACGTTCAATGATGTTTGTAATATCTATATTTTCAAGACAAAGGGTCCCCATCTTGTACACTTTACCCAAAATTCATAAATCTGGGCATCCTCCACCCGGCAGACCCATTGTTTCGGGGACTAATTCTTTATTAGAACCTCTATCTAAATTTGTCGACTCGTTTCTCCAACCTTTTGTATGCCAATTACCATCATACATCAAGGACACCAGGGACTTCATTAGTTGTATAGAAGGGATGCAGGTGCCTGAAGGGGCGGTTTTGGTTACTTTAGATGTTAGTGCACTTTACACAAACATCCCTCATGATGAGGCACGCCTTTGCATTCTTAGAACCTTAGAAAAAAGAAGTGTGGACATGCTGCCTACTCACTTTTTATTAGACCTTGTGGACATTATTTTTGATAAAAGTTATTTTAGATTTGGCACCAACTTTTATTTCCAAACAAAAGGAGTAGCGATGGGCAGTGCATTCGCACCAAGCGTAGCTAACATTTTCATGGGGAGTTTTGAAGACTGTTGGATTTTGTGCTCCAATACTAACCCGTATTTTCACTCGATTGTCTTATACAAACGTTATATTGATGATCTGTTTCTAGTGGTTAAGACGAATGAGATGGTAGAACCGTTTGTACAATGGCTAAACAGTGTCCATGAAACAATCCGGTTCACACATGTTGCCAGTTGTTCAGAAATAAATTTCTTGGACACCACTGTGTTCATTAAGGACAATCACCTTGCAGTACGTCCCTTCCACAAGGCAACAGATAGGAACTCGTTACTTCACTATGGTTCCCATCATGTAGCTCATTTAAAAAATAATCTCCCTTATGGGCAATTCCTCAGGATCAAGAGGAACTCAACTTTCCAGACTGACTATGAATTAGAGGCAGATAGATTGCAGAGTTTATTCAAGGATAGAGGATATCCAGATTGGGTTGTGGAACATGCTAGATTTAGAGCTACCCGGCGTGATCGAGCTGAACTGTTTCAAAATAGACCAGAGAAGTGCTTTAATGGGAGACTGTGTTGGGCACTTGAGTATACTGACAAAGCTTATGCCATTAAAAACATCATTTGTAAACATTGGCACATCCTGGGGGATATTGCAGCATGCAGACAATTACCAATGATAGGTTTCAAGAAGACCCAAAGTATCAGGGACAAATTGATTAGAGCTGATATTTTGAATTTTCAACAAGTGGAATTATTACCTAAAGGTCACTTTAAGTGTAAAAGATGTGCTGCATGTCCTCTCATGCTTGAAACAGGTGTCCTGAATCTCCCAGAGATTGGTTTCAGCAGAAACTTACAACAGTTCTCCTCGTGTGCAAGTAGGAACATCATTTATATGATTTCCTGTGGTTGCAATTATAGATATGTGGGACAAACTACACGAGCTTTACGCACACGAGTTCTGGAACATAAGTCTAAATTAAAACATCTTTGCCCTACTGCACCTCTGGTCCAGCATTTTGCCGAAGTGGGTCACAAATATGACGAATTTAGTTGTGTGGCAATAGAAGTAGTGAGATCTAGACCATACAGCAATATAGATATCCATAAATTATTGCTCCAGAGGGAGGCTTATTGGATGTTTAAGCTTAATACCATCCAACCTGCAGGACTTAACACTTCCCTGGATTTATCTTGCTTTTTATAATGCTATGCAACATTAGAGAATCCACTCTGTATATGTTTTTTGCCTTTAGCCTGAGGTATCTATCAATTGTATTAAAGTCATATGCACTGGTAAGTTGGCCTTCCTTGTATGTATAAACAATTTACCTTGTTTGCATTTTGCACCTATCTAATGAAAGGGATGCTTGTATTCAGTAAGACTTGTTGTCCGGATTGTTATTAAGCCTGTGTGCTGAATCATAAATTTGTTAGCCTATGGCTGCTGGAACTGTTGTTGATAAGCTTTTTATTATGTATGTACACTTAATAGGGATTGACTATAGAAGGCTACTGACTATAATATAATGCTATGTAATACTAGAGAATTCACTGTATATATGTTTTGTAGTTTTGTCCTTAGCCTGATGCATCTATTAATTTGTGCTAAAGTTATATGTACTGGTAAGTTGGTCATCCTTGCATGCACAAGCAATTTACCTTGTTTGCATCTTGCACCTATTTAAGGAAATGAATGCTTGTACTCAGTAAGACTTGTTGTCCGGACTGAAAACTAGTAAGCCTGCGTGCTGTATTATAAACTTGTTAGCCTATGGGCTGTTGGAACTGTTGTTGGTAAGTTTTGTAATATGAATGTACCATCAATAGGGATTGAGTTATGCAACTTGCTTTTGTTCTCATATCTTGTTTTGTATATTACAGGAAAAGATTGATACTACCTCTGTACACAAAAAGACAACCAGAGAATCTGTATGTAACTTTATTCTATATTAATTCAATCATAGCCTATGTATATTGTTCAGGAGCTCATTGTATTCCATCTGCTTTTGATAGGAATTGTGGTTGAAAAAGAGTTGTGTCTCGAAACGAACTACCACTCGAGATGTTCGTATCACCTATCTTCAGTGTCAGACGTCCTTTGTCTTGAAAATATAGATATTACAAACATCATTGAACGTCATCTCAACAAGTTTATTTATTCATTTTTGTCTATATAGTGCTATTGTGTGAACCTAACAGCAATTTCTTCCATTATTGTTGTTCCAGCTGTATTAAAACATCACTTGCAGCTTCTTCCTATTGTTTAAAGATTTGCCTTTGGCATCAAAGTAGAATACAGGGCTACAGAGGTCAGACCTGGCTATGAGCCCAGAGAGGGAAAGGTTGATGTTTCTCAGGTTCTCATCCACTTTGATTCCAGTCTTACAGAAATGAATCTGAGCACCACAAAATCATTAACTGTTCCATTGTAAACACATGCTACAGATATAGCCTAGTATCCTTATATTCCAAACGGAGTGTAGGGTTTTGCATGGAAAGTGTTTCTAATTATGTAATACATGGTGTCTAGTTATGATGGTTAATATATCAGACAGCAAATGTTTCTTGGGGGGATAAACAGAAAAGTAATCCTAACAGAGTACAGACAATGGTCATCCAATCTCGGCTTCCATTTTGTTAAGACGCATGCTCTTAGTGGTTTTGAGAACAATACTT